GGGAGGATCGAGAATGGTCTCCTCCAAGGAGGACCAAGGATGGTCTCTTCGGCAAGAACATATTTATTTATTTGGTTGGTTGGTTTGCTGCCCATCTTTCCTCAAGATAGCTCTACATTACGGCAGCTCATCATAGTCAAGTGTAAAAAAATTCTTTGGGTTAGGGTTGGGGGGCCATGGTAATCAAGGAAAAAATTCCTGCTCCATATTGTGGTGATACCTGGCTTCAAATTTCTGAAGCAATTTTACTTCTTCTATAAAAGAGGCTTCTGGGTTGTTAGTATCGTACATGGCCCCTGATAGAAAAAACTTCCATGAACTTTTTGTCCTCAGATTCAGAAAAATATAGTGTGCTCCCCTTTCATGTTAGCTCTCTGAGGAATTACTTCACTGTGCCTAATTCAAAACCCAGTTAAAAATCTCTCAAAACATCTTCTAATTCCTCACTCTGGGAATGACACTTTCATTTTTAATGGCGTTTGATGGGGGGTTTATTCCACATTTCTTCGATGCTGTTTTAGAGCTTACTTCATAGTTACATGGTGGCTGACAAAGCTCTCTTAGACAACTCTTCATCATCATATCATAGCATCCTTTGCTGCCCCAGTTGTCTGTGGGGCGGGAGGATCCCTTTGGGAGAAGTTATCCCTGATGGCTTCCTTTGCAGTTAAATATGGGAGATGTAGAAGAATTTAATTGGAATGTTAATCCCTCTTTTAGCATAGGGCTCCTGGGCATAGCTAGAGTTTTAATAGCAGTAGCAGACTTATATACCGCTTCACAGTGCTTTACAGCTCTCTCTAGGTGGGTTTACATAGTCAGCACATCACCTCCAACAATTTGGGTCCTCATTTTACCAACCTCAGAAGGAAGGAAGGCTGAGTCAACCTTGAGCCTGGTGAAATTCGATCTGCCGAATTTCAGGCAGCTGGCAGTCAGCAGAAGTAGCCTGCAGTAATGCATTCTAACCATTGCACCACCTTAGCTTTTTAAGTATAGTGGCTATTAATTAGAAAGCTTTTAGCATAGCTTCAACAACAGTTCATTTAGTGACCGTTCAAATTTACAAAGGCACTGAAAATAGTGACTTATGACCAGTTTTCACACTTATGTACCATCCTCATAGTCATACGGTCAAAATTCAGATGCTTTGCAACTGATTCATATTTATGACAGTTGCAGTGTCCCAAGGCCATGTGATCACCTTTTGCGACCTTCTGACAAGCAAAGTCAATGGGAAATTCCCTTAACAACAGTTTGACTAATTTAACAACTACAGTGATTCATTTGACAACTGTGGCAAGAAAGGTCACAAAACTGTGGCAAGAAAGGTCACAAAACTCACTTAACAAATGTTCACTTAACAACAGAAATGTGGGGCTCAATTGTGGTCATAAGTCAAGGACTATCTGTATTAATGGTTTGGCTTCAAGAAGAATAGGATAGGACAGGATAGGATAGGATTCTTTATTGGCCAAGTGTGATTGGACACACAAGGAATTTGTCTTGGTGCAAATGGTCTCTGTATACATAAAAGAAAAGATACATTTGTTGAGAGTCAAGAATTATAAGGTACAACACTTAATGATAGTCATAGGGTACAATAAGCAATCAAATCATACTAGGAAACAGTCAATAAAAATCGTTAGGATACAAGCAACAAGGTTACAGTCATACAGTCATAAGTGGGAGGGGATGGGTGATAAGGAGTGATGAGAAGATTAATAGTAATAGTAGTGCACACTTTATAAATAGTTGAACAGTGTTGAGGGAATTATTTGTTTAGCAGAGTGATGGCGTTCGGGGAAAAACTGTCCTTGTGTCTAGTTGTTCTGGTGTGCAATGCTCTATAGCGTCGTTTTGAGGGAAGGAGTTGAAACAATTTATGTTCGGGATGTGAGGGGTCTGTAGATATTTTCACAGCCCTCTTTTTGACTCGTGCAGTGCACAGGTCCTCAATGAAAGGCAGGTTGGTAGTAATTGTTTTTTCTGCAGTCCTAATTATCCTCCGAAGTCTGTGTCTGTCTTGTGGGCGGAAGTGGGCAGAACTGGTAGAGCTGGCTGAAGTTGTGGTTTGAGGCTTAGCAAGTACCTTTAGCAAATATATCATAGAGAATGTTGCCTTTTTATCACCAGTTCGTAACCAATCATGTTATATTCCTGGAGTTCCTTGTTGCTTAATTATAAATGCACCCTATTTTCTCAGTTTCAAAGTCTTGCCTAACCAAACGTGCTCATCTTGTGTGCTTGACCTGCTTTTGCCATCACAAAGTGTTGGTATCTGAAGTCCTTGGTATCCTGCTTGAGTAGAAAATAAACCTCAGCTTGTCTCCATGGAGCAACTGAGAAGGGAAAGAGACTTTTAACTCATAGACGGAATAAAAATAAATTCATCAGGTTCCTTTTATGGATTTTTCTCCAACAGAAGCCAGGGAATTTGCTGGTTGCTCAGCTCAGCTGCCTGCTCGTTGAGCTAAGAGCTTGAACTCTGCAGACCACTCAAGAGAATTTCATTGTATCTTTCTCCACCTTTTGGGAAGGAAAAAAGAAAGAAAGAAATGAAAAACACCTTCCATCATAATAAATAAGAATCATAAAATAAAACAAAGAAATGCTCAACAGAGAACTACTTTTCTAGTATGTCTTTTCTAAGGGATACATTTGGATAGAAGCCAGAGCTCTCCAATGGATCTTCTCTCAGAGACAGCCTTGACCTGAATCCAGAGGTGTCATTCAGCAAGTTCCGACCAGTTCTGGAAAACCAGTAGTGGAAATGTTGAGTAGTTCAGAGAACCGACAAATACCACCTCTGGCTGACCCTGCTCCCATCTCTTCTCTGCCTCCCGAGTCCCAGCTGATCGGCTGTGTCTTCTTTAGTTGCCCTGCACAGGAGAACGGAGCTGGAAAGCAGGTTAGTGGAGTGGAGAGGAAATGGGATTTTGCATATCCTTGCCCTGCCATGCCTACCAAGCCATGCCACACCATCAAGCCACGGTAGTAAAAAAATTGAATTCCACCACTGCCTGAACCTTACTCTTTTTATATGCTCCAGCCAGCATTAAGCCGATGTCAGCCCTTCATTAATTTAAACCACATCTGTGCAGTCAAAATCTGACAAGGGGCAGGTCCTCTCAATTCAAAATAAATATGATAGTTTGGTTTAGAACAGGGCTTCCCATACTGTGAAGTGTTCCTCTGTCTGGCAGATGGGGACACTCAACAGCCTAGAGCAGGGGTGTCAAACTGGTGGCCTGCGGGCTGGATGCGTCACGTGCAGGCCACGCCCACCCCATCTCCATGAAAGGGAAAAACACCATGATAATGTCACGCGACAGCAACGTGATGCCACAAGTTTGACACCCATGGTCTAGGGGAAGTGTAAAGAACCTTTTATTTATGTCATTACAATAAATCTGTCAGGGTTCCAAATAATAAAGCAAAACTCCGAGGCAGGTAGATTCCTCAAAGAATAGCTTTATTGGATATATCATATTGGCACAGATCTGATGAAAACCAACTCTGAAGGTTCCTACGGTTTTCACCTAATTAAAAATAAACATTTTTCCCCTTTTCCAAACAATCAGTCACATGGTCCAATCACGGCTCTGTCTGGTTGCCTGGTGGCATCACTCCTCCTTCCTCTGACCAGGTGTGAGAATGTCCTTGGTTCCCAAGAGAAAGTATTTTGTTTTGGCAACAAAACCCCAGAGATCTCTATTCCCCCCCACTCCCTATCCCTCAGCTCCAGTGTGGCAACACTGAAGCTTCAAGGTGGCTTCGGTCAGGTCAGCTTCAGGGTTAACAAAATCCATCTTCCCCAGACTTTCATTGTATTGTTTTCATTTTTCATTTGTGTTCATGTTGGCGTTTGGATTTTTAGGGGAGTCAGCCTAGAAATAAGGAGAAATTTCCTGACAGTGAGAACCATTAGCCAATGGAATGGCTTGCCTTCAGAAGTTATGGGTGCTCCATCATGGAATTTTTTTTTTTAAAGAAGAGATTGGATAGCCATGGATAGCCATTTGTCCATTCTGAGCTTGAGCGATGGGTTGGACTAGAAGATCTCCAAATTCCTTTCCAGCTCTGTTATTATCTTGTTATTCTGCATGTACATTAAGATTATTCCAAAGGAGGGTGTGATGGCAAATAATTTAGCAGTCCCTGCTTTAGAAGCAAGAAAAAAAAAACATTAGACTGCTTTAAAATCCAAGGGTAGCTTTCTCCTTCCTATCCCAGAGGCAGCTAAGACAGGTATTCTTCATGCATGGAGTTTTTGACCTATTTTCCCCTTAACAGTAAGTGCTTAACAGTTATTGCTGCATAGAGGCAGGAATACTCAAATAATATACTGGCTGTTCACTTTGCTGGAGGGTTCCTTCAGCACATCCACTCAATCACCTGCTTTGTTTATTGCTGTTGCTCTGTTGCAAAGCACTTCTCTCCTGGTCCCTCCCTTCCCTTCCAAATTACTTGCACATCACATTTTTATGCAGATGGAGTATCCATGCAAGCCGCAGCCTTGTGAAGACACAGGCTTTCCACTACATTGTGAATAAATTACCAACCTACTTCATGCAAACTCACAGGAACATTAAAACTCAGGCAAAACAGGATTCTACAGAAGTGAGCAAAATGCACAGGCCGTAATGCTAAATACATAAATTAGCAGAAAATGTTGTTTAATAATTTATTGATTCTGCAGCTGCACATATGTTAAAAGGAAAACCGTCTGTTAAAATGTTAATACTGCACACTCCACAGATGTCATTATACAAAGTCAAACATTTATATCGTTCAGCTAGACTGCCTGACATTTAGAACTGGGTTGATGTAAGAGAAGAGCTGGCATCCCATATGTTTTGTTGACGATCATTTTCATTTTTCGTAAGCCAGACCAAATTGTGTTACTGTACAATATATAAAAAAGATTCAACCAGCTTTGTTTTTTAAAATGGAGAACCAAGAATGGTCTCTTCCTCTTAAAAAAACAACAACAGCAACTCCTCTTGAATTCTATGCACTCTCAATATAGTAGTTCCATGGCATTTGAACAAAAGGATAGGTCTACAGCAGGGCTGTTAAACTCTAGCCCAGGGGCCAAATCCGGCCTGCGGGGTGCTTAGATCTGCACCTCAGGCCACCCTGGGAACAGTGAAGGACCAGCCCACAGTGCATCTGTCAATGAAAATGGAGCTTGCGAGGGGCGTGGATGGCCCTCCCAAGCTCTGTTTTCACTGGCAGAGGGTTGCAAGAGGCTATCGCAGGTGAAAACAGCTTGGGAGCCTGTTTTCACTGGCAAAGTGCTCGGGCCAACAAAGGCCCCCCCGACACCTGTGATAACTGTGATGAGTGATGTTGAGCTGGCCATACCCCCCTGCCATCCCTCTCCGAGGTCAAACACAACCCTGATGCGGCCCTCAATTAAATCAAGTTTGACACCCCGGTCTACAGTATGCATCTTTTTTGCTTAGGTGCTAATATAGGCCAGACACTTGTTGCCCTTTGAGGTTCGAAATACCATTTTCTTGGACCCTAAAAGCAAAGACATTTGCCAGAGAGTGTGGGAGAACCATTTTGAGGGCACTAAACGTTAGAGCTGAGATGCACACATCTCAGGGCTACGTGTGACTCCTAAAAACTTTGAATGGAATTCCCTGAGTCCTTCAGATATGAGGTAGTGCGTCAGCCTTAATTATCAAAAGCAATTCAAGTGGTGAAAGAGCTTTAGTTATAATAAAGATTCAGTGATCTAGCCTTCCATTGTTTTTATAATAATTATGTTTTTATACACCCAAGAAAGACACACACACATACATGATGAGGTAGCTCACTCACTCACCCACTCACTTCTGAGGGCCACACACAGCCATAATGAACATACATGCACACAAAGTGTATTGGCTCTGACACAAAATTACACACTGGATGTCAGATGATGGTCCATTTGGTTGTGTTTACAAGCCTTTTCCATCTTGTATTATGGAAGTCAGCACTGATATCTCAATAAAACCTCCATGTTTAAAAGAACTCCAGATTTTTACCCACTGTTCTGACCCAGGCTTCGTCAAACTTAATAAAACACAAGCTGAATTTAAAAGTAAAACCTTTTTTAATGAGACACTGGGAATTACTTGCATTCTCAGCCAAAACTCATTATATACAATTCGTTCAGATAAGAGTGTGCTTTTCAGTGCTGTCGAATGCTGCCAAGAAACAGACATCCAATTAAGGCTAACATAAACCAACCCAAAAACCTAGAAAAAACTGACCAGAGTACAGAGCTTCATGAAGGACTCAGAAATTACTGAACTGCTTTGCTTCCTACAAACCTCTTCGTCATTGAGGACTGACTTTTATCCCTTATGGGAGGGGCAATCACCTCCCAGCCTTACTCCCAAGTTGCCTCTTCTGTTTCAGCTTCTCTCTCCTTCGAGCAGCCCTGCGCACACTCACACAGGGAACAGGCTCCCCGGGGTCCTCTGCTTCACTGCAGCCAGACTCTGAAAGCTCCAAAGGCAGCACCCCACTCTCAGATGGTCCTGGCCCCATCCCTGCATCGGATGCAGGACCCTCATCCAAGTCCTTGCCAGACTCCCTGACTGGTTCCCTTTCATCCTCACTGTGCGATACCTCTGCCATCCACACCGCCTTCTGGCAAACCATAACACCCACTGAGAAGATTGTGCTGATAGAATAACGTTCACTGAAATGGAATATCAAATATCTCAGTGCCGTGAAGTAAATGGCCTTAAGGCTCAATAAGCCAATGCATCTCACTGAGCAGTAATTAAAAACTGCAATGAACTAGGGGTCATGCACTCTCCACTTACCCACTCACTTCTGAGGGCCACACAGCCATAATGAACATATACACACACAAAGTGTAATGGTTCTGACACAAAATTAAACACTGGGCTAGCTCATAGATCTCATACGATGGTCCAGTTGGTTGTGTTTGCATCAGCTGAAGCTGCATTCATGCAATCAGGCAGAGATAGGCCAGACACCTGTTGACCTTTGAGCTTTGGAATACAATTTCCATGGACCCTAAAAGCAAGGACATTTTCCAGACAGTATGGGGGAACCATTTTGAGGGCACTAAATCTCAGAGCTGAGATAAAGAACTTGAAATCTCAGGGCTGTGTGTGACTCTTGAAAACTTTGAATGGAACCCCCTGAGTCCTTCAGGTATGAGGTAGAGCAGGGCTGTCAAACTCCCGGCTCACGGATTGGATGCGTCATGTTCTGGCCATGCCCATACCTGGTTTAGCGAAGGGAAATAAAGTCTCAATATGTCACATGACGCCATGATGATATGAGCTTGACAACCCTGACGTAGAGCATCAGCCTTAATTATCAAAATTAATGCCTGTCGTAAAAGGGCTTCAGTTATAATAAAGGTTCAGCTCAAATTGTGCTGTCAGATCCTAGGAAATTGTAGCCTGGTTCAAGCCTACCTAGAAACCTGTTGTAACTGGAAGAATAAAAGCCAAAATAAGTTACTCTTTCACAAGCGCAGTGTTTTTGCCTTATGCATATAGGGGCAAATTTATTAGGTCATGACTATACTTATCCTGGAGCCAACTAGACTAGAGAGTTTTAATTATTTGTGTGTGTGTGTGTGTGTGTGTGTGTGTGTATAAAAACTAAAGAAGCAATACAAGAAAAAAGGGGTCATGTTATGGCCACAAAGTTCTTCATTCGGGATGAAGGAAATCTGTAAAAACCAGTGAAATCAGAGAAGACCTTATTAAGCTTAATT